CTGACTCCAACCTCCTGTCAGGGAGTTGTAGAGGGTGATAAGGTCTCCCCTGAGCCTCCTCTTCTCCAGGCTGAACACCCCCAGCTCCCTCAGCCTCTCCTCATGGCACTTGTGCTTCACCAGCCTCGTTGCTCTTCTCTGGACCTGCTCTAGCACCTCAATGTCCCTCCTGAACTGAGGGGCCCAGAAGTGAGCACAGGATTCAAGGTGTGGTCTCACCAGCATCAAGTCCAGGGGCAGAATCACCTCCCTCATTCTGCTGACCATGCTGTTCCTGACCAGCCCAGGATGCCATTGGCCGCCTTGGCCCCCTGAGCACACTGCTGGCTCCTCCTCAGCCTCCTGTCTCTCCGAACTCCCAGGTCCCTTTCTGCCAAAAGTCCCTTTTGTCACTGCCGGTCACTTGAGGGTTTGAGGTCCCTCAGATTTCTAAGTCCGTGCTGTTCTCAGCTCTGCTCTGTCCTGCCTCACTTGGTTAAGCCTTCTAACTTTGCCTATTGCCCCTAGATATGGTGTCAGGAACAGCCTTCTCCTTTCCCCTATGCCAACTGCTTCTACTGCTCAGATCTTGGGCAATAACGAGTCCATCGAGCCCTACACCAGCAACATCTACACACGCAGGGTCCTCTCAGGGGAGTTCCAGGTGAGCAAGGACTTGCTGTGTCCTTACCTTTGGGGACTGTCACTGCTGCGACAGACAAGGTGGAAGCCACACCCTCAGTGGCTCAGCCCACGTTGCTCCAAGCCCCATCCAGCCTGTCCTGGAACACTGCCAGGGATGGAAGTGTTGTGCCAGGCCTGGCTAAGCACACAGAGACCCCAGTGCTGACCCAAGTCTGTCAGGACTGTGCAGGGTCTGGTTGGACCATTTAGAACCCTTTATCCTCTGCCCCTAACAGGTGGTGAATCCTCACTTGCTGAAGGATCTCACAGAGAGAGGCTTGTGGAATGAGGAGATGAAGAACCACATCATCGCCCACAACGGCTCCATCCAGGTACTGGGGGCAGTGCTGAGGGTCCTGCCAGGCAGGAGCTGCAGGTTATGGGTTCCACTTGTCACAGAGGTTAGAAAGGGGTGATTTCATAGCAGGGAGTGTCAGAGAATCATGGAAGGAGTTGGAAGGACCCACAAGGATCAGTAGTCCACCCTCTGCCCCAGACACCCCAACAAAGCACCCTGAGCCTGAGAGTATTGGCCAAACCCTTCTGGAGCTGTCAGCCTTGGGGCTGTGACCACTGCCCTGGGGAGCAGGCTTTGAGGTCCTTCCAACCCATATCAGTCTGGGATTCTATAAGTCCACGTTTGGATTCTGGGATAGCATTGAGCTGCACAAGCGTCAGTTCCAGTCAGGATTGCTGAAGTCGTGGCCATCACTGGAGTTTGATGTTACAAATATCAGCGTTTGGGCAGTTGGTGGTTAGACCACATTGGAAAATGGTATGTGACCTCATTTTCCTGTTTCTTCAGAACATCCCTGAGATCCCTGAGGACCTGAAGCAGCTCTACAAGACAGTGTGGGAGATCTCCCAAAAGACCATCCTGAAGATGGCTGCGGACAGAGGAGCTTTCATCGACCAAAGCCAATCCCTCAACATCCACATCGCTGAACCCAACTATGGGAAGCTCACCAGCATGCACTTCTATGGCTGGAAGCAGGTACTGGGATTGGGGGTCATTCCCAACAAACCAGGGTGGATCACTGTAGCACATGGGGTGGGTGATCAGCTCTGCCATGGCTGTTTGGGCTCAGTGGTTCTGGGAAGGGTTTCATGGTACGTTCAGGGGTTGGAATGGGGCTTAGAGATGGTCCAGCCCCAACCCCTGCCCTGGACAGGGACACCTCCCACCAGAGCACGTTGCTCAAGGCTTCCGCCAACCTGGCTGTGAACACTGCCAGGGTTGGAGCAGCCACAGCCTCCCTGGGCAACCTGGGCCAGTGTCTCACCACCCTCACAGGGAAGGATTTCTCCTAATATCTAGCCTAAATTTCCCTCTTTCAGTTTCTCCCCGTTGCTCCTTGTCTGTCCCTGCAGCTCCTAACACAGATCCCTCTGCAGCTTCCCTGGAGCCCCTTCAGCTCCTGCAGGTTGCTCTGAGGTTTCCACACAACCTTCTCTTCTCCAGGCTGAGCAGCCCCAGCTCTCTCCTAGGGAAGCTGCTCCCACCCTCTGATCAGCTTTGTGGCCTCCTCTGGCCTTGCCCCAACAGTTCCACGTCCTTCTGATGTTGGGGACACCAGAGCTGCATGCAGCACTACAGGTGTGGCCTCACCAGAGCAGAGCAGAGGGGAGAATCACCTCCCTTGGGCTGCTGCCCACACTGCTGTGGCTGCAGCTGTTCCCTTCAGTGAGGAAGGGTATTAGGCTGTTTATTTCTATGGATTTGATGTTCCCATGGAGCATGCCTAGAGCAGCAAAGCTGTGGGTGCCTGTGGTGTTGTTCCCATCAACCCTGGGAGGCTCCAGCTGCTCCCAGCCCTGAGGCTCATCTTCTGCTCCACAGGGCCTGAAGACTGGGATGTACTACCTCCGCACAAAACCAGCTGCCAACCCCATCCAGTTCACCCTGAACAAGGAGAAGCTGCGGGAAAAGGTCTCAAGGGAAGAGGAGGAGAAGGAGAGGAACAAGGCAGCCATGGTGTGCTCCTTGGAGAACCGGGAGGAGTGCCTGATGTGTGGCTCCTAACCATCCCAGCTGGCCAGTGCCTGCTGGGATGGGAGCAGCCAGGGGAACAGGAGGGAGCAGGGTTGGGTTGGGTGTAGCTTCCCAATCCATGGGCTTGGGCACAGGCATGGAGAGAGGGCAGGGAGTGTAATGTAGCTGGGATTTCTGGGAACTCCTCTGCTCTGGTATGGCCTGACGTAGAGCTCTGGGGGCAGCAGTGAGGGTAGGGCAGCTGGCAGGGCCACCTCCTGGGCTGTCCTGGGTGCTCCACACAGTTCCTTCCACTCACTAAGGACTTGTATCCCAGAGGGAGAAGCACACCTGGCTGATCCCTTCCCTTGACTTGGACAGACACAGCAAGGAAAACTTCCTGGTGTAGGTGTGGTTGTCAGTGCCAGGGCACAGGAGCACCTGGACTCTGTCCCACCTGCCAGACCCACCTCCCACTGCTGCTTCCTCTCCCTGTCCTCTCCTCTGCCCTTTCCAAAAAGCTTTGGGAGGAGCAGATGGTGTGCTGGTCCCATGCCATCCTTTGAAGGTCACATGCCATTTTTGAAGGCCACATGCCCTGGCAAGTTATTAGATATCTCTGTGCTGCTCCTGCACTTGCTCTGTGCTCCATCAGGCAGTTGTGCAGTACTTGCTGAGCTCAGGAACCACAGGACCAACCCTTCAGCCAGCCAAGCTCAATAAACATGGAATGTTGAAGGAATGAGTGGTGGGAACACTTCTGTCTGGTTCAAAATGGGTGTCTGTACTCACAGGTTCTTGCTGTTGCTCCTGTGTTGGTTTCCACAGAGAGATGGAGAAGTTCTCAGAGAACAGAGAGAAGTATCTTGGGAAGATCACAAGAAAATGTAACTCAGTCTTTCTTGTTAGTTCTACAGCTCCTGCCAGGAGGTGCAGCCAGGTGGGCTCAGGCTCTGCTCCCAGGAACAGGGACAGGACCAGAGGAAGCACCTCAGGCTGTACCAGGGGAGGGTCAGGTTGGCCATCAGGAGGAATTTCCCCACGGCTCGCGGGCACTGGGATGTGCTGCCCAGGGAGGTGGTGGAGTCACCAAACCTGGAGGTGTCCAAGGAGCTCAGGACGTGGCCCTCAGAGCTCTGGGCTAAGTGACAAGGTGTGATGGGTCCCAGGTTGGACTTGGTGGGCTCAGAGGGCTTTTCCACCCTCTGTAGTTCTGTGATTAACCTTGGCTCCCTGAACAGCTCATGGAGAGAGGAAGGATCGTCTCACCTGCAGCACATCAAGGGGCTGAGCTCACCTGTCCAAGGGGTCGGAGCTCACCTGCCCGGGAGTGTCCGAGCTCACCTGCCCGGGGGTGTCAGAGCTCACCTGCCGGGTGGGTCGGAGCTCTCCTGTGC